ATAAAGAAACATTTAATATTCTTATCAATTCTGCTTAGTTCATACGAATAATCTTTGTCGAAATACAAGTTATAGGTTACATAAAATAAAATATTTTGTTATTTTTTTTTTTTTTGTCTTAAATAAAACGTTTTAAAACAAATCCACTTGTTTAAAACGTTTTAAACACATGTTTAAAACATTTTGTTTAAAACACTTTGCAACCCTGCGTGTGTCCCATAACGTGAACCACCACTGCTTTATTAACAAATATTTTATTTTTTTTAAATCAAATAAAGATCCACCAGCGACGTGGTACTACAAGCAATGGCGTACAGAAGGGAGGATGAGGGGAGTAGATCCATCCTAGGCCCTTTTTTTAAATGTTATAAAATAATGTTCTTACCGTGAATCGTAAAAAAAATGATTTGTTTGCAAATGATCCCCCCTCTCCAAATAAAATGTATGTACTCACCACTAACTACAAGTGGTGGGATTTAGTAATTCTTAACTTCTAACTGAGCTCTTAGCCAGGACCGGTGATAGGGCGGTGTAATTGGTGCAACTGTATCAGGCTCCGGGTTTATGCAGGCTGTTGAAAACGGATTTGGTTGAAACATTATCTTGATGAAAAAATCAATACATTTTCAGTAGAAAAAGTCAGAAAAAATGATTTTAATAATTATACAATTGTTTTAAATATTTTGTATTTGTAAACTTGAATTTTCCTTAGGTTTGGTTATTAATTTGTATAAATGATTAAATAAAAATGATTAGGTAAATAATTTATTGATTTTATATTAGATTTTTTAGTTCAATGTGTTCAGTAAAATGTATATAAAAATAATTCCTTGAAAAGGGATGGAAACCAAATGGCTTACTGACCTTTCTTCAAATGTAGTACATGAGACCCAGTAGTAAAAAAAAATTGTACCAGTACTCGCAAATTGTTCCGTCGACACTGTTTCTAATTACTCTTAACTGATTTTCTTAAGCAGTTTATAATATATTCCAAATTTCATTAAGTATATTTTATATTAATTTGGTTTTAATGTTGTATTAGGTACTACAAAAAAAATTATAATAATTGTTGCCGCCGTAATATAACATGCCGTCGGTCGCGAAGCAACAGCCGATCGACACACACACACACACACACACACACACACACACACACACACATATAAACAATCCCGTGAATTAGCCGTTATTTTTACATTTATCTTTGTCTTAATTATATTTTGTGTATTATGAGTTGTATAATATGCTAAACAGTAAATCGTCACGTGAAGTCCAAGAAGGCCGTTAAAATAATATTTATTCATACGCACGAATTGCTGTTCTTTTTTTGTTATAACTTTTTTTTTATATTTTACTTTTATATTTTATTGCGGGGGCGTTATTCGCCATATTGCAGTTATTGATTCATATTTTATATACGTGTGTTCGAATTACCACATTTATATTATATTATTATTATTATTATTTCATATATTCAGTGTCGCAATTGTTGGTTATATTATCATTCCTTTATTACCGTTTTACTTTTATATTATTTGTCTGTGTATTTTATATTATTACAGCGTCTTATGTAGTTACAGCTGGCCAGTCTGCTCTCCACAAACTGTGAGTCGTATTTTACTTTTTATTACATTTATTTAGTTGTTAGACCAAAAGGACCGTACATTTATTACTTATTGTGTCATAAGGACAGCACATTATTTATATTTATAATTTCTTTTTGTTTGGCCATAAAGGCCAAACATTTAAATATTATAATTTATTATCTTGGGCCAGAAGGGTCGTCCTTTATATTAACGTTAAAGCCATACGGCTTCCCGGCCCGCACAATAATATTGAAAACAAATTCATATTCAATAATAAATTACAAAATTCAAATTGTTAATTTATTTATAGACATTTTAAATTTCAAAATGTGTATCAGTGAAGTATTTAGTTATATTTTTCATATAGTAATTTTATGTATAACATATATACATAAAAACAAAAAATATAAAAATATCAAATATTTCATTGATTGAAAATAAATCAAGGTGTTAGGATTTTTTCATATAATTCTTAAACACTAATTATAATCGTTTTTATAAATATTGTAAAATCTCGAAAAATGCTTTTGAAAATATGATTCTATGCACGAAAAATGCGTATAAATTGCTTTTGAAATTGCAATTTTTTTTAGAAAAAAAAAAGTGAAAAATGAAAAACGAAACCAAAATCCGGTATAGTTGCAAATATTTGTAATAATATTCATATGATAGGAAAAAACTCATCATAACGTTTTAACGTTTCCATGACTGTATCAGGTTTTATATATTTTTCTTTCTGTCACTTAGCATTCCAAATTGAAATTTCTGATTTTATATCAATTTTTTGACCAGACCAATTTTCAAAGTACACCATTGCTGCTTTAACTAAATCTTCATCATATTTATCAATATTTGATGGAAAAAAAACCTTCAAAAGTTATTACTTCGATAAGTTTTTAGTTGAACCTTGTATTTAGCTGAGAAATCAAATAATCGATAAAAGGTAAAAAGATATTTATCCTATAGCATTCTATTGGACTGTTGGTGTCAATATTGGATTTTGTCGTTTGACGGCCGCATAAATGAGGTATTTTTATTTCTTCACTAACTAGAGCTGACTTATCAGAAGCATTTTTAAAATATTTTTCAAACTCAGGTACAGAATTTTCTCTAATATTTCCAATAACATCAATGCCATCTTTTACATGTGAATAAGTTTTAGATAGCTCAAACTTTGAACTTTGTAATACTATGTTTGGCATTTTAATATAAGAGAATAGTTCAGTTACAATTTCTAAAGATATTAAAAAGTCACTTCGTCTAATATTTGCACTATTAGCTAACAGCTTTACATACAGTCTTAGGGTCCGAACGCACTGCGGTATTTTCGCCGTCGGGTCCGAACAGTTTTACCCGAACGGTTTTTACGTTCACACCAAACTACTATATTTAGACGGACTGCACCGCACTCGACGGTTTCGCCGTTCTCCGCCGTCGGTCGCCGCAACATGCTGCGGTTTGACGGCGCTGCCGTTGTACCGTTCGTAAAGTAAACACATTGTTTCGATGGGAAGGAACCCACTGTGACTATAGTCAACGGTTAATTTTGTAATTTTGCATATTTTTATATTTTTTTTCTAATTCACCAAATGCTTCTGCGACAGCAATCACTTTAAATAAATTGTCATAATCATCTAACTCCATTCTAAATAAATTAAATGTAATATAATAAGTAGGACTATGCATTAAATTAACTAATAATTTAATTTATAACTTACTTACATGTATTTAGGTGTTTGTGTACAAATCGTGGTACGTAGGTATAAAAAATTTAAATTTACAGTATTAGATATAGTGAAATATAGTAAATAAAGTAGATCACAGACCATAGTAGTTGGTTAACCAACCACTGTACTATCAACTATCAATATTCAATTTTCTTATGGAAATTAGAAATTGATATTTAGCCAGTTTAGGCGCGAAAATTTAGTGATAACACCTATTGTATTAGCGGTAAAAAATCGCAGTGCGGTGCGGGTCGTAAAATCCGCAAACGGTAAAACCGTTCGGACCCGACGGCGAAAATACCGCAGTGCGTTTAGACCCTTAGAGTCTGACATTTTTTCCAATTCTTTTAAAGTGATTGTAATATAAAAGTAAAGGTCTCGAAAAGTTATTATAGAATCGACACAGCGAGTAGTACATAAAGCTTTTAGTTTTTTTTTTTTTTTTAGAATTGATGATCTTTAGAAATTAAATCTAAGATTTTTTTTTTGTTTATAATGATATAATACTATTTTGTCTTTTCTTGCTCATTTAAATGGCAGTTATTATTATTGGTTGTAAAGAATTAGAAAATTATATTTATCAATTTATGACTTTAATAATAATTGATAATATCTCTATTGATAATAAGTCTGGGCCGATAATCTATTACCGAAAAGCTGTTATTTAACTGCGTAGCTGTAAGTTGTTGACAAGCGCTTTTCAACTATTACATATCTACTACTTATTAACCACGGTTAAAGATAAGATAACCTATTAAGTATATACATTACATTGACATTATTTTGATACAACAACTAAACATTTTCAATTTTTTCAGAACTTACCTTAGAAAAGGTTAGTAATAGACCTAAAAGATAATTTAAAAAAAATTAAAGTTCTTAAGGGGGGGGGGTCTTCAGCCCCTCTAGCCACCCCCTCGTATCCGCCCCTGCTCGCACTACGTAAGTTGAATCGAATGGGAGACATTTCCTCGCGAGAAATGCCCGCCGCCGACGTGCGCCGACCGTCACAGTGACGTGGATTATTTTTTTTACCGTCCGGTAGTCTCCGCGTGAAAAAGTTTCACGTAAAAATGTTAATTTCGTGTTTAAATTAATTTACATATCCATGTGGCGGGTGCATTCCCGATTTTAATAATAATAATAAAAAAAAAAAGGTCTGGGGGCTTTATGTTGGAGATGGTTGGCAACTATATTGATTGAGTAAACGACACCCAATATGATGTGCATGGTGTGATTTAATTCCACATCAACTTCATGACAGCGAGCGCTTCCAGCTCAAACAGGTGCGCAATATTCGGCTACGCTATAAACCAAAGCATGGCGGTTGACTTGTTCGAATCGCACAAGAAGTTGTGCTCCCGCAGAATTGAAAACGACATTGTTGTATGTCCGTACGCTACTAACGATTATTTGGAACCTGGATATTAAAATAATTCTAAACTACATATGGGTACATATTATTATTATTCGATTCGATTGGGAATTTGGGAAGATAATAAAAATAAAACGACTGTTGAATAAATATAATATTATAATTATTTATAGAAACATACCATTATTAAAATTAGTTCAAAAATAAAATTGAAAATTTTTAGAGAAATATTATGTTTCTTTAAAGAGTTTATTAAAATATTAATGAAACATTTTTCGTTTAGCTTACGCCAAAATGTTTTTCGTCTACAGGTTACATAGACCACATACCATTAAAAATGCGACTCATTTCAAAATATTTGAAAAAACTGCAATCTTCATTATCGGGATCTCTTTTACATAATTTTTGAATAGGTTCAACTGGTTTTGGTGTAGTTGAAGTAGTTGTAGTAGTAATAGTGGGTATCATTTTAAGCAACTCCCACTCTAATGGATTTAATTTGTCACTGTAAAACGTAATAATATTTGTTTATAATATTATTTGTACACGTTCGTCTGCGTTTTACATTCTGTAAAAAATATATCCTATTGTTTATATACGATTCGTATACCTCCGGATCAATATTAATAATAACAATAATAAAACCATTTCTTAATTTGATTAAAAACAGTTTTAAGTTGCTAGAACAGAGATCGACATGTGATTTTGACAAGAACCAGAAAAAAGTCCAGTGATATAAAATATATTTGATTATACTATTTACTAGTTTTAATACTTATAAGTAATATATATATATATATATTTAAAAAAAATTATAATATTAAATGAATTTGCTGAGAAATTTAAATCGATAATTCAAATAAAATAATGTTTTTTTTTTAAATGAATGTATAAAAATAATAAAAAAAAATTTAATTATTGTATTAAATAAGATATATTGACTGTCTGTCTACGATTGCCACTCATTGTGCTAAAGTAAAAGTTAACCGTCGATGGATCACCGATAAGTACTGATTTTTATCATTGAAACGAAAAGTAACATGCTGTGAACTTGCGAGAAATTATGAAAATGTGATTTGGTCATAAATAGTTAATATTTTAAATCAAATAAAATACAAATGTTAATGATAATAGCTCTAATAATAATACAATTTCCTCTAGTTAAATCGTACAAATTCTATAATTTTTTTATTCTGATGAACTTAACTTAATGTCCTTACACAAATTATATTATAAAAATTAAAATTAGTTTCAACAAAAAATAAAGTAACATTATCTTTTTTAGTATGCTCTGGCTCCTTTGTAATTTAAAAATATTTAACTCTTATGAAAAAAAAAAAAATATTTTTCAAAAGTACTATTTAATTTGTAATGAATTATGAAATATGATCTATAATTATGCATATTAGAGGTTTTCGAATTTTTTTTGCTATGCAGTTACAGAAATCGTTATGTATAATACGGATTATTAAGTCTAATTAATAAAAACGCGTTCGGACGCGGTATATATTTTTCGTCCTATCAAGTGGTCTTTCGACGGTAACGCGTACCTCATAATGGTAATCTATGTTTTATTTATTACATATAATAAAGTAATTAATTTTTAGAATAAACTAATTATTAATTTATAAACTTTAAATAATTAATGAATTGTTTTTTTTTACTTTTTATTTGACTTTGAAGATTTAACTTTTATTTTAAAAATAAAGTCTTTGATCACACTTTTTAGAAGGGTTTAGAGTTAGGTCTAAGTGTGGTGTTGCATTAGATCGTTTTTTAAAACATTATTTATATTTTTATAAAATTTATGTATATTCTAACAAATTTAGCGTTTTACCTGTGGCTTGCACAATAATGTAGAATATATAGAGGTGAACACGGGGTCGAACAACATTCTGAGGCTATGCCACCATTATTTGATATTCTTTGATCTAAAACAAAATAAATATAAGTTATAACACTAAAAATGTCGATATTGTTGTAAAAAATTATCGAATGTTTACATTTATACCAAACGGGTATATACTTGTAATAAGAATGTAAACGAGTGCAAGGGCGTCTATCATCAAAAATCAAGGGAGGACATGTGTGGTCTGTGCCTCTCTGATTCTCGGCGATCGTTATCGATAGGTTTATAATTAGTACTATTTATGATTCCCTGAATTAATTCACTCGTGGTAAGGTTCTGTCCATGAGATATAATATTAGCTAAATAAATTAATTTAATATATATTTAATATAAATTAATAATTATTATAGTTAATGTATAATTGACATGCCCCCTTGCCCCTCTCCCATTGGATACCCTTGTACAAGTAGATGTTTGATTAAATTGGGTTTGGGCTGGTTTACCTACTAATATTTCATAATCAAAAATAGTTTATTCATGATCTCTAATGGGTAATTCGGAATATTTTTAATCAATATACACTTTAAGAGAGCCTCTTTAAATTTTCCTAGATTGTGGCCTGAAAAAAAATGGTCCTGTTGCCCCCTTTTAGAGACGGTTCTGTATATATACATACAAAATATTTATATAGAATATGTGGTTTAAATTGAAAATTATAACCAAAAAACGTTGTCTTACTTGTAAAGTTGTCACATGATAATAAGCCTTGAAAAATGGTTATTTGCGGTCCACATATTCGGATTGGTGTTTCCCAATCTAAAATATGAAGAATATCTTATAATAAATAATATTTTAAAATGTATTGCTTTTTCTAGTGCTTTATCAATAGAATAATTAAAAAATATTTTTATTTAACTTTTCAATCAGTATTGAATATTTTTTCTACAAATAGAAAAATAGAAAAAATTCGGTAAGTACTCAGATTGAAGAAATTTAAAAATAATTTTTATATTATGTAATTTGAATTAATTAATTAAATTTGTTTATAAATTTCTAATATTAAGTTTAAAATGTATTTTTCTTTAGTTACCGATTGCTTCCACGATCTTAGTTGGCCGCATAGGTACGGGCTCTTCGTCTGCACTGCCATAAGGCTTGCTTTCAATTGTTGCTGATAAAGCATTTAACCAAAACAAAACGATTAAGATTCTGAAACAAACCACAGTCATGGTAGATATGAAATTAAAAACATTTTATGAACAGATTTTATAATAAAAACAGTATTATTAATATTAATAATAATTATAAATTTTTTTGTACTTTTTGTCATATATATTTGAATGTTGGTGAAAACGTTGTCGATGACGAAATGTTAGTTTTAGCATTATTTATCAAATACTATAGATTGCTCACTGACCGGTTTTTTGGTGGTGTACTCTATTTGGACAGTGTCATTTCGCAGCGCTGCAGTCGTGCGATTAGCAGTAACTTGTAATCACGTCTGGCCGACGGTTGATCAGAATTTCAGAATGCCAACCCACCCCACACTCACTCAAACAATAGACACCACCATAGTTAAATGAAGGGGTGAACTGTCCCATAAAAGTACGTGTTTTGCGCCACTGCTTGCAGTAGTAATATTTTTATACTGCGTAATGTACAAGTTTTATTGGATACGTTGTACATGGTCTCCTTACACGAGAGCAAATGTGTAATCGCATAATCGACAAATGTGTCAGTATATTATTATAGTATTAATAATAATATACATCAAAACAAAATTAATTTGTTATGAACGTCATGACGACGCACTTTCGACAAGCAGAGAAACATAGTAAGACTGTTGTAGGACATATTTATTTTAAAATATATGACTTGGTGACTGGTGTTGTCGTAAAACTGTATGGAAAGAATAATCGCCTGTAGGTCTAGTAGGGAGGGGCATATGTCCGATATTGTTTTTCACTGTTAAACCCTAACTTCTTCTGAAGAGAATGATATATTTGTTATGTTTTTAAAAGAAATAAATTTAATTTATAGCAGATTTCAATCCTGCATTATTTTTGAAACACCTTATAATATATATATTCGTTAAAAAATACAAGTAAAAAAATTAAAAAAATCAACATTAATAGACTTAAAAAAAAAAAATCATCGGTTAACTCCAAAGCTTTGATGACCGTGCGAATTTTGCACAAAAAACGAGTCATGGAAAACTTCAGAAAAAAAAAAAAATTGCGTTATCCTTATAAGTAATTGAAAAATCGACCGTTTTCTTTTGTTTAAACTAATTTCATACCAAACATATGTTAAACATTTAATCAAATTACAAATAATCCTTTCCTGCATATTCAATTCTACCATGAAAAAATAATATCATAGACTTGAGAAAAATATTTAAGTTTTTATAGTAATATGTTCAAAAAATTGTACCGAAAATTGCGATATACTTACTTTAAATCTCCATCTACATATAACTATAATAAAAGTAGCAATATTTTACAGGAAAAATGCATGGTTCGTTGTTAACTACAATTAATAAGTTATTAAACTTAATTTTCTGAAAAATATTTGAAACAAGTCCAAATTAATGTTTTGGAAATGCCGTACTAGGATAAAAATATGCCATCTTACTCGGTGAAGTTTCTATAATAAAATCAATAGATTACAACAAAATTTTAGACAAAATAGAAGGGTTTATATTGACAAACTCGTTTTTTCATTCGTTAATGTTAATGATAAGTGGATTTTACAAAAATTGGAAATTTCCTTTTTCCTACTTTCTTATGGTTAATGGAGTTAAAGGTAATAATTTAGTCAACATTGTAAAATAATGCGTAAAAAAAAAAATATAGATCTTGATTTATTGCCGTCGTGTATAGTATATGATCAAGGGACATAAAATTGCCGAATGTTTTCGTTACTTAATGTATCTGAAAATAATCCGTAGACAATAATAATTTGAAAAAAATAATTATGATTTATGATATACCACCCCTTATTAAAAGCATAAGAAACAATTTGTTGTCTGGAGATTTTCTATTTGTTGATAAATGTGTTTTTATAAAGGTACTAAAGAAACCTATGGAATTGACTGTAAAATCACATCAGCAAGAGCTATGACAAATATCACTAACATTTATTTATTTTCCAACCATTTACAAAAAATAAGTTGCAAGTTAGCAGTACAAGTTTTAAGTAATTATGTATATAAGCGCGTATGGGTACTGGGCAGTTGATATCAGTCAATCACAGCATTAAATACTGCAGAATTGATTACATAAATTAATAATATGTTCAATTTCGCAAACTGCAAAAATTAATTTGACCCAAATCCAAATAGAAGTCCTATAAGCTCCAAAAACACTTTAGTAGTATTTGAAAACTTGAAGAAAGTACAATGTTTGTATACAGAAGGGAAGAAGGTATGTCATAAAACAAAAAAAATAGCACACCTCCATGTTTCACGGGGATAATTTGGACAATACTACTGTACATTACAACTGTACAAAGAAGAAAAAAAAGACATGCAGCAAAATGTGTTTTTTAATGACTAATCTATTTTATGTAATAAGAATATTAAAAAAATCGTTATAAAAGAAACCCTACGGCTCGTACTATTTGCCGTTATTTTAGGGACATTTCTTTTCATAGCTCGATGAAGTGTTCAATAACAAGTTGTAACTTAATAAATTGTTGTAACTTAACAATTGTGAACCAGACGACGATGATTTTATTACAATTAAGGTAAGTATTAAAATATACACCCGTTGATACTTCAATTTCTTTTGGAAATTAAGAAGACGTGATAATAACAGATCCCGATACAAGTTCAACATCTTGTGAAATTTCTTCTACGGAAGACGCGACATTAGAATCATGCTCGGTGACTTATTTTTTGGGTACTTGGCAAAAAAATATTTTGATGAATTTCAATGTACTAACTGTAACTTAACATAACCAACGAAAAACTTAACTGATGCGAAACATTGCTAATTATGAACAAAATGTATGACAATGTTAGAACATCTCAAGGCTTAAAAGCATCGTTTGATTAACAACAAAAATTATTGTATTAAGCTAGGATATATTTAAAAAAAAAATTTCCTAACTTAAAAAGCGAGAAAAAATTAAACAAATTAACAAATTAAAAGAATAATTGAAAAAAAATAAACAAAAAATTCACACAATATTTCAAAATTCAATATGTAAATATCATTATATATTTATATTACAACTATTATTTAGGACAAAAATGTATAAAGAGTGAAAGTGTAAATATTGGAAAACGAGTATATCAAAATATAGCTAAATTGCATATACTTAGAAACAAATAAATATTATTTTATTCGGACATTATCCTGGGTAAAAAAAAATAATTGATTATGTTTTCAATTTTTTTTATATTGTTTGCCCCTACGGTGTTTTTAATTTAAGATCAAATGATAAAATTATAATAATTTAAAATCAGTTTTGTTTTATTTTTGTGGTTAAACAATAAATTATCTAAATCTAATGGTCTAGCCGAAAAAAAATTATTTGAATTATTTTAACTTATTTATAGGAAAAATTAAAATACATTCATTGTAATAAGGCACATTCAATTTGTCCAGGAAAAATACTTTGTACCTTGTACAACCTTGTACTTTTGTATTTTGTTTACTGATTGTTGGAGACGGTCGACGTGTTAAAAGATAAGAAACCCCACGTCAAACTATACATGATTGTTACAAGGTGATGGCCAAAATAAAATATGATATTATTATTATTAGTTTCGTGTTACTATTTATCAGGAGTTTTACGCCACTAAAAATAAAAAATCTGCAAGCAATCTATAGTATTTATTATTAATGGTTTTAGGTAACAAATAGATTCTAACTACACTTATCAATAACTATAAAAAATATTTATACACTTGGAATTAATTTTTACGTTCCAGTAATTATTTTATTTCACTGTTATTAAAGTTAATCCATATTAATATGCATCTACATATGAAAAACGAACAGGGAAATTAATAAAACAATTTTTCTAATGATATGATTTAAAATTTACTATCAACATAATTTAGATGTGTTTATGATTAATCAGTTTATTAAGGTAATTATTTAATTATTTATTATTTGGCAGCAACCAATAAGGTAAGATAAAACTCTACTAAGTTGTAATAGGTTATCAGTTAGATCAAATAAACCATTAGAGTGTAATTTTATGATACAGATTAATTTAAACAGTTAATATCATCGATCAATGCCTCTATCTAGTAGGTTATTGTGATTAATATTAATGTATATGACATTTCATATTTACTTAGAACGGCTGTTACGTGAGTTCGTAAGTTTTTAAAATGTATCAAAAGCAGTGGCGTGTCATATATGTGTGCGATGTGTGCAAATGCCACGGGTCCTTGACTAGGGAGGGAGCATGATTGCTCAAAATTGCAGAAAAAAAAAAAATTAAAAAAATATAATTATGAAAAAGTAACAAGATTGTTCTCATGGTTCTTAATTTGAAATCAATATATAAATGTTATAAATATTGTATCAAATTTAATTATCTTTACTTCTGCAAAATAAATAACAATTTAGAGGACTAAAATTTTTTTTATAAAAATACGTTTTCAGTGGTTTTTCGTTATCGCTTTGTCGCTTATTGGCCTTACTCCACACCGATGGCTACATTATTATATAAAAAGTATACATATAATATAAACCTCTACGAATTCACACGACTAAAATAACGTTATGTATTTACTGAGTAAGAGATATTATTTTATGACTCTCGTAGTGTCGTGTATCATTGTTCAGAGTCAATACAAAATAATAGACGACAAACTAAATTAAATATTTTATTATATAAATTATTATTATAATAGCTTTAAAATTTACACGTGGTGCTGCGAAACGCAAAATAAAAAAACCAAAGAGAAGAATCTATTAAATGGATAACGAAAATTGATACATTTTTCAAACAACACCATGAAGAAACAAAAAAAGAATGAGCTATTGATGAACCAGGTATTTTGTCAAATAAAATGCATGCTGTTAGTAATTCCATAATCCGATATTATTATATATAATACATGTAATGTATTAAAAGTTCTTTAGTCTCCTAAACAAGAATTGAACACAGCAGTTTCTTTATTTAACTCTACGTTGATAAATCTTCAAAAATACAGTAATTTTTTTTACTTCAGCAATAGAACAATTTAAAATCAATATATTTTATTTAACATTGGATAATCCAATAATACCATTAAATGAACGTTTTATCAGTTTAAATTATATTAGTTCTGATTTATCTAATGCTCTTGCTGGTCAAATTTTGTCGTTCAGATCTTGTTTTAAATAAGAAATTACAAAATGAATATTGGTAAAAGCAATTACTGAATTATTGGTTATAGAGAACACCACATTAACAATAACATTTTCTGAAATATGTGCAGCGTATAATATTTTTAACACTCCACGTAACAGTTGCTACAGCGGAACGTTCATTTTTAAAATTAAAATAAATAAAAAACTATTTATGGAGCACAATGTGTAAAGAAAATTAAGTGGACTTGGAATTCTATTTATTGAAATTGATCGAGCACATTAATTAAATTTAAAAAAAATAATTAATAATTTTTCTGAAAAAAAAAGAACGCAAACGAAATTTCGATCGAACTATTATTATTATTATTATTATTATTATTATAATTATATGTAATTCCATCTTATTTTATACATAATTTAAATTTCAATAAAAAAGTATCGTACCTATATTTTTATAAGATTTTATTATTTTAGAATAAAAATACTTACTTTAAATTTGAACTTATATAACTATAATTATAATATTTTGAATTAAAATGTGAAGGAGCCTTTTTTTACTATTGCACATGGGCCCATATTTGGGATGAACCGCCACTGATCAAAGGTACACCGATTACTGAGGTATATTAATTATATTCAACTTACCTTTTTGCCATGTCTACAAAATCAACATAGAAATCTATAAAATAAAAATTAATAATAATTATTAATTATGAAGTTATGAAGTAAATTATTTATTTTTATACTACATAAATTAAATGATTTCAAATAACACACATCAATGATAATTTATTACGTATACGTTATTGAAACATTATGCTTACTTATTTTAAATATATTAAACATGGTCTATATTCCATCTATATTCCAAGCCATTTATACTTATGTTCAATAATTTAATTTTATTAGGTTTTAAAAAAAAAAAAAAGAAAAATGTGTACATATCAGATTTTAAATATTTTTTTCTTTTATAAATATAATTATTTCTAATTCACGAAAATATTGAAGACTATTTATTATAATATGTATAAAATATACTAATTTTCATAATTTCTCATTCAATATAGATAAAACAACCGAACGTGTCTTATAATATTAATAAAAAACTGTATTAAAAATCTTATTCGTGTACAGGTACCCAACGATAAATATCTGAATGTATAGGTTCATGCATCAAACATCATTAAAATGTGCTTAAAAGAAACGATACATACCTTTACAGAATTATAGAGTATACAAAAAAAAAAAACAATTGTCACCGTAGGAAAATGTCGATTATTATTTCGATTAAATATTCGTTATAAAGGATGTCCACCAGATAATTTCTATAACAATTAGTGACATATAATAAGTATTTTAGTGGACGCAGACGATAAAAAAACAAACATGGGTAATCAAGAATGCATTAGAAGCCTCTCAACATTCCACGACTAAGAACGAAACAAAAATTGTGCAGTTAAAGAAATATATATCGGGTACCTTGGGGGAAAAAATAAAAACATGTTTTATTTACAATATTTAATCACCAAATTCCACCGAATATACAACGTATAACAGAAAAATATTTTAAAAACATCTAAGTAATAAACTAATATTAGTATAATATATATTTATAGAAATTGTATAAAATTAAAGTTTGACGTTTTTAATTTTATATGAAATGTTCCTTTAGTTATTTATGTTATTTCTATGTTAATAATTAACATAGATTTTACTTGAAGTCTCAAGTGAAAAATAATAAAAATTGAAACAACATTGTGTCCCAGGAAACCGTTCATAACAATAAATGAAAATTTTTGTAAACAATTCAGAGGATATAGATATTTAACGTATAAAATACGAGTGTTCTTAAATTTATTGTCATCTTTTGGAGTGCCCATAACAATTGACAAGTATAGAAATCGTCTTGATTTTATTTTTATTCCACAAAAAAAAAAAAAAACGTATTAATGAATGCACAATATTGCCATCAATAATTCTGTGATTTAAATATGTAATAAAAATTATAACTATAACACTATGAAATGTTTCTGTAGATTTTTATTTAATTTGTTAACAGTTTTTATAAAGTTATCAAAATAGGTAATTAATTTGAAAAGAAAAGAGAGCCTATTAAAAAACGAATCATTTTTCAATAAATTGTTCCGGATGAATAATTTTGTATGATCTATGAACATTTGTCCGTGCAATCACAAACGTGTAGATTTCGATTCGTTTTGCGATTGAATTATACTGCGTTCCTCATTCCCTTAACCAAAACGAAAACAGATTGTTTACATCATATAAGCTTGTACTATATTATTGAATGCTCGTTCAAATAGCGCGATTTTTATTAGAACGTTTTAAGTTTAATTCGAAATCAAAATGTGGATCAATATTTAATGTTATTTTTATCTAAAGATGTAATTGAACAGATTTACTTTCTTTGTCGTATTGAATTCCGATGATTCCTGGACAGAATAACACAAAATTGGTTTGAACACCTGGGGATGAGTATGGGGTACGCAGCACAAAACGAATACTTGCCTAAACGACAGATGTTAACTAAACGCTAAAACGCGTTACCGGTGACCGCTTGACGTTGCAATGGTAGGGATGACTGGATGCCGTCGACGACGATCGCAGAGCCTTATTCTATGACCCGGTAACATTGAATATCATTACTGTATGCGCGATGACATAGAAACCAGATCTTTTTGAATGTGTCATTGCGTTCGCCTCTACACATATTAAGAACATCGTCAAGAGATGTTGTCTAAAATATTTCATTTCGAATTTCCAAACCCACATACTTACCTATATTGTTCGAAAAAGTGGCCGACATACTGGTAAAAATATCATTACAAATGGCTATTATAGCATTATTATTTATTATAAGCTGCAATCAGAATAGTTTATTTGACTTTTTTTTTTTCAATACATTTATTATGAACGGTGAAAATCTGTCAAATAAGTTAATGATATATTTAAAAATTGTTTTAATAATATTATATGTAAAATTAGTAAACCTCTTTACGATTTATAAAAAAGGGATAAATGTTTTCTTCCAGAAGTAGAATATCAGTCAAATTATCAGCTGGTAGTTAAACTGTTCCATCTTTTCAATATTTTTTTTGTTAAATAATATTCTCAAGTATAGTATTTTGAAACAAACGCATGCTTGATTTTTATTACACTTATTAGAACTGAAAACAATTATAAGTATTTAAAAAAACAACTGTTAGGTAATAACTATTACCGTGGATAACTATTCTTTGATCAGAAGTCTTCTGATCTTGATCTTTCTTATTTCCAGATCCATTTTAAGTCATTAGATGGCTGGTTTTTTCTAAAAAACATAATGCATCAATAAAATTCGAAAATATTTTTTAAAATTACTTACAATATTTAATTTTTGCGTATAATCATTAAGTGATTAGTTGAGTTTCAATTTTCTCGGGACTCTTACTTGTCAGACATTACTCAACTTAATCATCTAAGTGTTTCTTCGAGTTATAGCATACTCAAAATATTATACAGTTATTGTTTAATGCATATATACGAGTACTAACCATATATAATTGGATAACAACATTTTTTAATTTGTTGCCAATTTATAAAATATTGGTATTTTTAGTTTTATGTGACACATTATATATTTATCATAATGATTATTATCACATTATAACACATGACACGTTGTGAATTGTGTTTAATTATTAAAATTTCTTCATCGCTGAATTGGCAGCGAACTATAATGTCAACAATGTTTGTATTCTATTATAAGTCATGTGAATATGATTATGTTTACAAGTAAAATAAAATGTAAACATTTAGAAATAGTATTTATGAAACTGTAAAAAAAACATCATAAAAACAAGATTATAAACATGAGGTTATTTTTTTAATCAATAATAATCAGCTGTTGATAGATTTTATCAATAAATATTATTCTACTATACACGAATAGAAAAAAGTTTTCCATCAAATTCCTTTTTTACCTGAATATTCAACAACGTTCTATACTATTTATATTTGTACTTGTGTATTCTGTAATTAAAGAAAAGTTTTTATTAGTTTAATAAAACACGCTTTAATAATTAGTGTGACTTTTTGCATTCATAAATACATTGCAAATCTGTGGTTAGCAACGATTTGTTATTTGATTATAACATTAGACTCAAGCATAATTTTGTAATTTTCAGAATCAATAACTATTCAACACATAATTGCAATCAATAATTTTGAAAATTCTTCACATTTTAAACGTGTTTTAAAATATAATTTTGATCATGGATGACAGTATAATTCCTAAAGCAGATAACACCAGTGAAATAATTCGCGAAAACTTGCTGAAATCGACATATATTAATAAACGAAATGACTTACGTAAAAATATACTACCTGCAAAACGTCGTAATAACATTAAGTAAAAATACATTTATAATGAAAATGTGTTCTTAATTATAAAATTACAATAACGGATTTAATGTATTGAAGTAGAGATGGTATTTATTACTCAGGTCAGCAACTTTACAATTAGAAAAAGAACAGGCCAATCTTTTAGCGAACTTGAACGTTGTGTTACAAAAATCAAAATTGAAGCAAGATCGTCGAAACCAAGTCGATATTTATAATCTATATAAAGAAAAAGAAAAAGCTGATCAGAATAATAAATATTTAAGAAAATTTTTATTTGATTTGAATAAAGAAATAGGTAGGTTACAGAGTAAAGATGATCGTCAAAAAAAAATAACTGATGCCGAGTTAAAAACTGTCAATGAACAGAAATTTCTCAACGATATAGAAAAACTATTACTTGGAGTATTTACTATTAGCATTGATGATGAGAAAATTATTTACATTTAATTTTGATTTAGAAAAACCATGCGTATAATAAAGAAGTGAAAAAACTTGAAGACCTGAGGCAAACGCTGGACGGTTTGCTTAAAAAACTAGCACATAAAAATGTAACATATGACTCAATGATTTGTCATTTGGATAAAGAAGCTAAATACCTCACGAGTTTTTGTGAATGTGCATTAAATTATCAGGAAAAAAAGTTAGTACTAATCTAACTGTTATTTTACCAAAGCGGTATAGATAAATGTATAATTAATATGTAATACAATATAATACAATACAATACAAATATAATTAATATGTATATATTTTAGGGAAAAAGCTTTAAACAATTTAACATTGTTTCGCGAAAATAACACGCCAGAAGAAGTACAATGGCATTTACGAGTTAATGCTGCAAGTTATAAACTAAAAGGCGACCTTGAATTGAGCGAATTCCTACAAAAAAAACGTAAATACTTGAACATAATTATTTTAAATATACAATTTTAAAATTTTACAACCTCGTATTCAATAAATCATGTCGTATGTCTGATTTTTTAAAAATTATTTTGTTAAACGACATTTTTATTATACATTGTCAAAACATTAAATGTTTTAAAAACTACATAGTATATTTACTGAACTATTAATTTATAGCACAGGATTTAATTAGCTGATCTGATTGAAATATATAAATGGATGTATCACATTTTTTATGGATAAGAACTGCAATTGAAAACCTGGGAACAACAACAGGACATCTCCAATAAACTAAATTTTTCAGGACTAACAAATAACTATTTTAAAATTTAAATTATAACTTTAAAATTTAACTAAAATCATATTTTGATTTAATTTTAATGATTATAATAGAGACTAATACTTAAATGGTAAAAATAAAATTTTAAAATAGCCAAAACAAAAAAATAAAACTTAGGAGATGTCTGGTTGTTGCAACGTAATATTATTTACAAAATTATATTTTGATAAATATGTAATATTATTATTATTATAAAATGTTTCTATTAGGTATGTTGTTTAATTTAATTTTATATATTTTGGAATGTGTGTGTGTTCCAAAATAAGAATTTATTATTATTATTGATAAATAAATAAATAAAACTTTTTATCAGTGAAGGTACTTTTTCATGATAATACATAATTTTTTTAAACAAAATTTCATTAAACAAAATATTGAAATAAAATAACTTATGACTTTATGTAACAAACAATGAGCAATTGTACAACAATATGATAAGTTTCACGTTCACATATTACAAACAAGTTCATATAAAAACAAAATCAACAAAATATAAATGAAAGTAAAATCTTTTAAAACATAATAATACATTATTTTTAAATAAAATTTTAGTATTAAACTTGATATTCTTATCTTATTCAGTCTTCATCAATTAATGCTTCAGTATGTTCATCTTCACCTGATCTGGGATTTGAATAATATTATAAATATTCAGAAAGAACATACTTTCAGAAAGATGCCAGATCTTTCAGTTTAGCTTCTTTAATAATCAATGGTCCATTGTATAATAAAGAATCATTTGTTGGTAGGCTTAATGTAATTTTAGATTTGTGATTAGATCACAATAGCACGTATCTATATACAATTTAGAGTATAACCAACATTTGGTGCAACAACCAGGCATACCCGAATATGTCTCGTTGTATCAAATAATAAACCAGACATCTCCATTTGTTTAATATCTCAGTATCTGAGAATCGAATATGTCTGGTTGTTGCACCAATCGACGTGTTTTTTTTTTTTTATAATGTTAGCCGAAAAAGTGATTTTGACCAAAATATGGAGATGTCTGGTTGTTGCCCCAGGTCTTCAATTATTCAACTACAGTACTACAGTACTCGCTGATTCGGTCATCGCTAGTCCGGAAATTTATATTTCGTACTTTAGTACTCTTATGTACGAGTATATATACATACACATAAATATTATACAAAAATGATTTATGTCAATATCGATTGTTTACTACTATAAGACATATATTATTGATAGATAATTGAGATATATATGTTACAATTTAATCCCAAAATTCGTTAAAATTAGTTTTAATTAGTCAATACTAGTTTTCACAAATAAGTTTTGTCAAAACTAATTGACTAATTAACCAGAACATCAATATTATTATTAGTTTTTAAATAGAGTTTTGTAACAAAAGTAAATTTTAAATGGGTATAATTTTAGATTCTGAACGGAGTGATGGAATCTATTGGTTCTTCAATGATGTGTGTTTTTTTTTAATTTTTTTTTGTGTTTGTCAGCATGTTTTGGGGCAGTAAAAATTCTTCGATTTTATTAAACAGCAACTTTTTTGAAAGGAAAATGAACATAGATGGTACTTTGGTAGATCAAAAATCAAACTGTTTCAATACTTTTTAAAAGTATCGAAAAAACCCATAAAAAATATACGAAAAAACGGGAATTTTTACGCAAAACCACGTTTTGACCAACTATATTTTATTTTAAAATGCTCTAATTCAAAAACGAAAAACAGCATACACTTGAAATTTTCACCAAATATTTAAATATTAATATATATATATATATATATAGAATAATATTTTTTCTATATATATATTTAACAAATCATCTCCGTTCAGAATCGTTATTCGTATACAATGATACCTACCTATCATTGCATTCAAATTTAACAAATCCATTGTAATGACCTATCTATTACTGGCCATATTATAACACAATTTTTAATAATAAATAATTAATGATGACAACAATAATATTATTTTAATTATTATACTAAACAATTTAGATATAAATCTCAATCATGAATAAATCATTTTATAATGATTAAAAACTTATTTTTTTGAAACGAAACACTTTTATTTTAGAATGGGTACCTACTTAAAATAATATAATATAAATTATCAGTTTATAATACCATAACAAATTAAACTTTTTTAAAACATTTAAAAATAAAATATTATAATAAAATAAATAACAATCCAAAAAACAATATTTTAACTGCAGACCTAATCCATACTTTGGTAAAGTCTTTTGATAATATAATCTTTAGCCTTTCTGGGTTACTTTTTAAAATCTTCATGGATTTAATGGCACTGAATTATTACTTAATATTCTAATATGAATAACAATATTACAAATAAAAAAGTAACATTTTAATTAAAGTTATTTTCAACAAAATAAAACTTTATGATTATTATAACAATAAATTAATGTTGAATTAAACCAAATAAACTTATTTTAATATCTAAATTAATAATAATAAATTTAATTTTTAATAAATACAGTCTTATTCTCCAGCTCTATTAGCTTCTTCCATATTATTATTTTGACAGTTAGTATTTAAATTATTATTAAATGGCTTATAATAGTTGGGGATACAATTTGCATCACAAAGGCTGATTAAATCTGCTTTTTTTTTTGTAATGTTATTTCAGGTGGCTTAAAATAAGCTGGTTTTAAGAAAGGTTTTTACAAAATACTTTGGACCTGCGTCCTCGACATGCAACTTTTCGAACATCAATTGTTTGAATTCCTTTTCAGAAAATTCATTTTTATAAAACACTTTGTATGGGGAATCTTTTCTAGTAAGGGGTTAGCCTAACCTTCTAATACTTTGATTTTATTCCATATAACTTTTTCTTTTCTGTATTTATGGTAAAATTATTTTAAATTTTAGTACATAATTTTTTGAAGTCTATTATGTCTTCAGTACCCATTTGTTAAACTTTATACGGCTCTCCTTTTCATGCTAAGCTTATTATTGGTATCCATTGTTTAGACACATAAATTGGACCACCTTTAAGACATTTTTTTTCTCCTTCTCGATACAAGCATGCATCGCATCCCCTTCATTCTGAGTATGACCACATAACAAAAACTTGTGTGTTATTAATGGAATATTTAACATAATTGTAGCATACATGTAAAAAATGAGTAAAAATTAATTTTTATTTTAACCAGCACAATAGTTTGAATAAAATATTATTGGTATGCCTGTTTAGTTAGATTTGTTTAAGTACGTCCACAAACATGAAGCTTTTTCAATGGCACCTCTATTTGCTTGTTCCTCATTCCAAACAAAACAATAAATATCCCGTGAAGAAGTCTCAAAAATAGTAAAATTGTAAACACTTCATTTTCTTTTGTAGTAAAACATGTTAACATCTCCACATGGGTTTTGTAATACAGCTTTAAGATCAAAACAGCAGACACTAACCATTCCTTCTCTTCCTTTAGCAATATCTTTTAATTTTTTTTTCTCTACATTGTATCTTAGCTATTATGTGTGCATCATAATCATCACGACTTGCATGTTTTTCTACATTTATTTTGTTTGTCCAAGCTGCACTTATAGAGCATTGGTCTTTTTCGGTTGAAAAAAACCAATATTGCGTTGGTGGTTAAGTAAATCATAGTAAACGTATTGAAATACACAATCTTTCCCATTTTCATTTTGGTTTATTACATACCATTTGTACATGTCAGCAAATGATAAGCTACTATCAATGTACTCTCTTTTGGTTTGTGCTCTTAAGGAGTGCGCAGGGATTCTAGGGAAAGAATCAATATATTTCAAAACATTAAGTTTTAATTCATCTGCAATTTTTTTTTGATTATTATGTTTAACTTGTTTTATAATTTTAAGTATTCCTTCACTATTCATATCAATAATACTGTTTCTTATAATTTTATCACTTACAACAAGTGTAGCCTCAAAAATTATCTTGGATACTTTCTCTTTTATAAGACTATCACTAATATTTTAAAAGTAGGCAAAAATTACTTTTTATCTTTTTGGAATTAGGTGTCTTCATTGAATAGAGGATTAACTACATCAGTATGCCTGACTATAAATTCTCTTTGCCTATTTTTGTCACCTATTGCCCAAAACTTTTTTTTTTATAAGCTCTCTTTGTTCTAAATTTAATTTTGAATTACATTCAAAGCGATAATTTTCACATGGAGCTTTTAATAATTTTGGTTTTACAATGATCCCAGATGTATTAACATATTCTTCACCTCTATTCTTAGCAATGTTCTAATTCTTCACAATGCTTTTACATTTTGTTTCCACAAATGTGGATTTCTAGTGCACTTTATTGTAGTTCTTATAGTTTCTTCAGTTTCCATTGATCGGAAGTAGGTTGTTTGCTTTGTTAGATTTTCAACAAATTTTTTCTCATCATTTGGAACAGAAATAACAATCACTTTATTCTCAACAGAAACAAATTGTTCCTCATGATTTGGAATAGAAATACCCATTCTTTCATTCTCAAAATAAGCAGATTCTTTTTCATAAGTTGGAATAAAAATAACAGTTGCTTCATTTTCAATAAAATTAGAATTTTGCCCAGTTTCTAAATTGCCTAAATTAAATAAAGATAAACAATCTTAGTAAATATGAAAAAAATTATTTATTTATTTTTTATTGTTTAATATATTAATATACAAATCAATATATTAACTATAATTAATACTCTAGATATTCAAACATTTTATGAACAGGCATATTATTTAACTTACTAAAATACATTTTGTATTAGTTGATTATATATTAAATAATATATTGTATACCTTATTGATTATATTATGAAATTCAGTAATTTTTTTTAAAAATAGTCTGTACAAAAACTTTTTTATAAGTGATAAACTGATAAATTGTATAGATAATTCATTTATTTATTATTATTAAGGTGGTTATATTATTATAATTGGTAAATATCAACTAATTATTTTAGGTAAAACAAATAATTGTGAAAAAATCACATTAATATGAAAATACATTATTAATTTTACCGTATGTAAAATATCTCTCCATTATATTATTATTATTTTGTACATTTTCAGAGTTTTCATATTGCATATCCACAATTTCATCCAAAATTGATAAATTATTATTTTCATTGTTCTCAAGAAAATTAAGATCATACTTTACATCCTATCTACTAATATTACAAATACCCATTTATAAAATACGTAAAATATTACTTATTTAATTGATTTTTGGTACACATACTTTAATTTCTGATAACAAGTATTGTTCATGATATTCAATAGTTGGATTTTCAAATTGACTGAAAGAGATGTTTTTTATACTTTTAGCAGTCTTCTTCAAAAAAAAGTTCATACATAAAAAAAATAAATTACGTATATAGAAAATAATTGTACTAATTAACTATTAGAACTTAATTTACATTTTGTTTTATATTTGTATTTCTGACATCTTCATACAATAAAAAGTTCTTTTTATCTATTAGCAAAAAAAATGAAATTTAAATAGCTGTAAAATTATGAATTTTGTATTATTATATACTTTTTAATATAAAGTACTAACTGTATTTATTAATTTTTCATGTTTAGAATATGTCTTAATATTAACTTGACTGAGTATTTTCCGTCCTCTTGAGTGAGATGACATAATTATTACAATAATAATTATTCGCAAAAAATAATATGAACCGAACAGTGGCGTAGCTAGGATTTTCTGAAGGGGGGTGTGAATTATAATTATTAAATATTATATATAATACGTACAAACTAAAACTTTTATTTTAATTAATTAATATGTATACATAATGTCTGTAATAGAGATGTAATGTATATTCGAATTCGGATAGCTTTACTATAAAACATTCGAATATTTGACTATTCGAATATCAGTATTTGATGCTAAAATACCAATTATTATTAAACGTTTTGTGTTGCACAAAAACGTAAACGAATAATTTTCGTCACGTATCGTCGCAATCGCGATAATGTTAACCTGTATATATGTAATTAGTATTGTGCATTATTTTATATTTCATATTGTATTATCGATTTACCTATATTCCTATAATAATGTAATATATGATACGGCTCAAGGGGGGTGTCATATCTACCAAACACCCCCCTTGTATACGCCACTGGATCCGAACACGTTTATGTTGTAAGATTTTATAGAAGGAATGTATAAGTATATGTGTATGTAGTAAAAAGCAATAGATACAATAATTATATTAACTATTTAACTAATAAGTTTACAACTAATGATTATTACCATTATAATAAACGAATCATAATAATATTATTATTATTATTTGTTATCATTATGCCTCACGTGTCAAGTGGCTTTTATCTTTGTTGAAAATCATAATCAAGAATTATTTCAGTGCAATAGAGCCATATTACAATATGTGGCCGTATTGTTATCAGTTAGTATATTTAAAAGGCCACATTTCGTATTACGGCTTGATTGTTTTCAACTAGCTCTCGATCTGTCTTGGTGCAATAAGTTTATTTGTATCATTAACGATTTAAAAATATAATTACATAGATCGTGCCACAAAAAAAAAAAAAAAAAAAAATAAAAAAAATAGGAATTCAGAGGTACTAAAAACGTAAATTTAAAATTTTTTGATATATGGTCCTCTTGCACTGATAGTGCGATATATATTCTTAGGTTCATATATATGTACATATGTATTTTTAGTATAATTGTAAGTAACTCTACGAAATTGGAAATATTTGGGAAGTACCCATGTATGTAGTTGATTAAGATTTTTTAATTTCGATTATATGTTGTGATATTATTATCGTTTCTCATTTCAGTTCATTCGTTGTTTCGTTTAGTGATGATTGTGTATTCATGTAGACCTTTTAATGTAAACATTTTAAATTTTTATAAATAAAGTGTTATTTTTTTTCTTTATTTATAAGTAAGCTGAAGAAATGTCATTCCGTGTTTCAATAATCCGGATAGAGTCCCGGTCCCATTTTGTCCGGATCAGCGAGACTACTATAATATTATACTAATGATTAAGTATAGTTAAAATATTTATTCAAATGCATAATTAACTGAACAGTGTCATACTTAGGAATTATCATGGAGTGTGCTGATGTGTTAGTTACAAGATATAGTCTTAAAAGTCATATATATAGACATTTACAATTACTTATGTAATTTGTTCTTTAAAAATGTATATTATTTTAAAATGTAGAGTTAAATATACTAAAGTTAAGCTGCTTCACCTTGTGATTTTATATTTAAAATAAACTAAATAATTAATTTATATACGAATCATTTCAAATTTTTTTTTATAATCAATAAATATTAATTACGATTAGTATAGAATATTTTTTTATGATAAACAAATAATTAATTGATATTACTTTACCGATTTCGCGCAGATGTTCATCATACGACTAAATAATTTCTGGGATCGTCACTTCTACTTTTTTTAGTCATAACTCTCTAAGCATACTTCCTTAGGTATGCCACAAACTTTGAATATTTTTAGACGAAAACAATTAATTTGTTTAGGTAGTGAACGTCGTAACAACCGTAAAACCAGCCCCGCCAAGGTAATTAAAGAAAGTTATGAAAACGAAGACCTCTCAAAAGCCATGAAACACCTGATCCATATTAGCGGAGAATCAGATTTGAAAATAATTACAGAAAATATAAAAAAAATGTCGTATGATAAAGCGAGTTTATTTCATCTAATAATCTTCATTGAAAAACAAGTAAGTTAATTACTCTCATGATAAAATTTCCGTAATCATGAATATAATGAAAATTTCTGATCATCATCCAATTTTAACTTTTATTTTAAACAATTAAGTTTGACAAAAAAAAAAAAATCCATTTAAAAAAACCATTCAAAGCTCACATATTATACCAATGTGCAATAAATATGTACATTTATTAATAGTTACATTTTGTGGATGAAAATTGTTTTTTAAAAACGTATTTGCATGTATTGATCTAGAAAATCAATGTTTCACGTTAAAAATACTATGTTCGACTAGAAATGATCTGTTCGCAATAATGTACTGTATTTTATTCTAATAAAGTGAATATATAATATACATAATACATTAATAAATCGAAAATCAAAATAGAAATTATTCACCAAAAATTTTATTTAATTAAGTTTATAACAAAGCCGATTAACATTTTTGTTAAATATCGCTTATATTTGCTTATTTTATTAAATTTGAATAACAAATTTTGCTAAAAAAATAATCTTGTTTTATAGAATATTATCTAAATCAAGTTAAATGTGTTTATTATTTAGCACAAATTGCATGCGCACATTATAAATAAAAAAAAAAATATAAAAAAGATAAATAAATAAAATAATATAGAAGCATTATTAATATGAACTGATCAGCCTCTACTTCATTACATAAAAACTAATAACGTGTTTAAAAATAAAAATAAAATATGTAATCAATTTTTATAATCAACAGTTAAGTGAACTGGAATATTCTCTTAGTCATTATAAAAGTATTGGAAAGGAAAGAAAAGGATCAATCAATAATAAAAATAAAATGTACGATGATAAATTAAATACTCTCTTAATAAAAGTTCAAGTGAATGAAGATACGATAAATTCGATTCAAACAATTTTAAAAAACGTGAGTGACGCGTATATAAGGTCAATCGAGGAAATATACAGTATATTTAAAATGATTGGAATTGACCCGTCGTTATACGAAGTATTGGGACTAAGTGAACCAATAAACGAGGAAAATATGTTGAACTATTTCAAAGAAATGGAAAAAAGATTATTTGAAATACTTTTCAAACTAAATATTATAGAAAACAGTTGCTTGACAGGGCCAGTTGAAGATCCATTGATGTCAGACGTAGAATCTACACAGAATCTGCTCACGAAGGATTACAATGGCATTGAAATTAAACTAAACAAAGTTCTAGACATTGGAGACGGTTCAAAAAATCAAAAACTTAATCATAATATCGATGTTGGATACTTACCGTCCACCTAGAGTACAATTGTTTTCCAACTGTGAAAATCATAAACTCAATAAAAGTGCATCCAAAAACTACGTGTCATTTTTATTTTTTTGGAGGAGAGGGTCGAAATTTTAGTAAAATTTTTATACATGATTGATATTCAAATTTTTTTATTTTTTTAAAAGCTGAAAAGTTTAAACTTTTAAAATTTTAAATAATCTATAGTTATTAAGAGGGCTCGGGACTTATAGCATTTGCTTATTTTTATGATTTGTCATAAAATATAGCAAAGTATTACGGATGTATATGTCATGTTCAATTATGAAATTTAAAAGTGTTTTTTTTGCTCTTTTAGACGATTTTTTTAAAAAAAATGCTTATTTCCTGTTTTTCTGATAATTTTACTTTTGTGCATATCTGCCTAATTATAAACAAAGACGTAGACCTAACCTAACCTAGATTTTTTCAACTATTTATAAATATCGTTTACATTTTATTATTCAGAATATCCATAAACAATAAGGCAAAATTTCTCGAAAGTCAAAGTTAGAATTTTTTTATAATATAGAGATTTATTTATTGTTTTTTGATTTTATAATTAAAAAATTATAATATGGACTACATATTTTTGTTTTATATTTTTTGTAATTTTTAATTACATAATCAGCACAATTAAAAATATGTCTACTATATTATCATGTTCACGTAAAAAGATAATTTAGAAACGTTTGCTAGTTTTTTTCTATTTTAAGTCATTTTTTTTTTTATTGAATATTTTTGTTTAAATTAAAGTTTTTTAAATGATTATTTGAGTGCTAATGATGATGTTTTTAAGTGCTCTTTTAAGCACTTATTTTAATGATTTTAAGTTTTATAAGTCCCGAGCCCTGGTTAATAAATATTTTCAACTAATGTCTTCAATATAAATCTTCTGTTTTTTTGAGCCATTATACCTAATACTTCATCTTTTGAGATTGACATTTCCCAATGTACTGACTGAAGAGTAAGTTAAATGCTAATTTCCAGTTTTATTACGATGCAATGTTTATAGGCACTTTAGTGTTATAAATTAATGTTCAAATGTTGTTGTAGAAGCTGGTGGTGTAGCCAAAACTTTCAACAAAAAATGTTTTTTTGATTTATTATTATTATTCGTATGACATGCATAACACAGTACAACATAATAACAATATTAACGAGAATAGAGATAAATTGGAATAAAATAAATAAAATAAAAACAAGAATAAAAATAAAATAAAAATATGAATGGAATAACAATACGTATTACGGGATTTTTCTTCACAAATCAATGTCCAATTTCTCCAACGTGGGTTTCTTGAAGGCATAGTACATCCGTCTTTTGCTCGTCGGCGATTCTTTTAAAATATGTACGCTTTGCTCTAGATAGGCCTTCTACATTAATTTGTATGATATTTGTTGGGTATAACTTCTTATCACATGCATTCAAAATATCCAGGTTAGGTTAGCTCTAGTTATGCTCTATAGCTCTTCTTTCAGAAAACTCGTTATAAGTATTCAAAATACTTTATTGAATACTTTCAAAAAAGTATTTAAAAATTATTCTGAATACAGTATTCCGAATATTTATTTATTATTTATTATTAATACTACTCAAGTCTGATTATCTGGGATATCTAATATTATTAATAAATCATACGAGTATATTCAGTTAATAGTACAGTCGTATTATTTTAAGAATATTATGTAACTGTCGCATCCATATCGCGTTATTGTACGTTTCGCGAAATGGATAACGTTTGCATCCATTTCGCAAAATGGAACCGCGATTTCTCCACTTCACGTAATTACACAATATGGATAATATTTCGTGAAATGGATACTTAAACCTTCATCGACGGAACTTGTTACGTCATTTAGATATCCATATAGCAAAAATTAAAAATAAATTTAATTTCTATATATTATATTTATTTCTAAAAATTAAATTAAATTATTTTTTTGTAAGTAAATGTTTTATAAACTATTATTTATTTAGACAAGCTTGTGAGTAATGACAACGAGAATTAAATTTAATAAATTTTTAAATTACCTTCAAAACAATCACATTTTTTAGTTTGACATTTGCCTTTACAATAACAGCTAATAATACCTTGACCTCCAATTAAAGAAGATACAATTTCTCTTAATGACATTTCTTTTGTCTTATTCACTTGCTCGATGTCAATGAAATTTGATGTGGCTGGTTGTATATTTCCAGAACCATACCAACCTCTTAGTATGCCATGTTCAGTTTCTAAATGGTTAAGTTTATTTTCCTGGTCGGTCACTACGCCAATAACGTTAGCTGGGTTACAGACCCTCATTCCACCTTTGGAACCGGGATTACAACACAGTCTCCAACTTTAAATGTTGGTATTTCGATCTTACTATCCTATAGCATAATGAAATAATGAATTATTTTAAGTAAATATAAAAATCAAAACTATTTTACTTGTAACATATTTTTGGCTTGCTTTTCTATTACTATAGCTCTTAAATGACGCACTTCCTTCATTTTTATATTCTCCTCACATAAATTACATAAAATTGCTTCACCGGAGTCCATTTCCATACAATATAATATTTGTAAAACATTTACTTAAAATTAATAATTTAATTTAATTTTTAGGAATAAATATAATACGAGTATATAGAAATTAAAGTTTTTTTTTAAATTTTTGCTACATGAACATCCAAATGACGGAACAAGTTCTGTCGATAATGATTTAGGTATCTATTTCACGAAATATTATCCATATTGTGTAATTACGTGAAGTGGAGAAATCGCGGTTCCAATTCACAAAATGGATGCAAACGTTGTACATTTCGCGAAATGTACAATAACGCGATATGGATGCGACATAACCATAAAACAATTTAATTTTTATTTTTATTTGTTATATACATATTAATATTATATTACATTCAATCTTAAAAATGTGTAAAAGAATGTTTTTAAAATTAGGATGATATGATTGGATTTTTTTCAAGTAATTTAAAAGCCAATATTATCTTTTTACAAATTTATTCGAACTTTGACACAATACCTAAACATATCACCTTTCTATTATTCTTTTAGGTCTCATTAGTTTTTATATATAATGTATAAATAAAACTAGTAGAGGTACGAAAAGAAAAAATTAAGTTATATTTCTGGATCATTCATGACATCATAAACATAAAGTATATTTTAATCTATGTATGAAGAATTAAACGAACATACTTGATGAATTTTAAGAAATTAAATTACCTTTAAAAATATATGAACATATATATTATGACACAAATTTGCTTAATTTATGTGATATAATAACTAGATAATTTTTAATAAAGTTTTATAAATGATATTTATAATAAGTCAATGCATACAACTTTGTTAAGAATTTGAATATATTTTAACCATTTTTATCTGAGTATATTATTTTAGGTAATATTCGTTTACAAATCATGCGTTTTAAAAATATATTTATTCGTAAATAATGTTGAAATTTATTTATTAGTATTTTGGGTGTTGATGATTTTACCTTAATTCAATTGACGAATGACAATAAAATAAAATGAGATTTACAATTATATATCTAATAACATTTTGTTGAAGTACTAAAATGTAAAAAAAATTACATCGACATTGTATTATAGGTTAAATTTTTATAAATTCGGTAATTTTACATTTGTTGACAAATGTTCACGTAATAGACACAATAATTCAAAATAAATTTGTTAAATATCATTTAATAATTTTAGTTTGGTCATTTTGTCTATCAGTCCTTTTATTACGAAGAACGGATGAGTGGTGAAACCGAAAAATATGTTTAAAAAACTATGCATTCATGTATATACCTGAGAAATAGCCATAAGTATAACGTTGAAAATAAGAAAATACTTTCTCAAGCGCACATCAATCGACAATACGAATTTTTTAAATTGGGATCAAAAGAATTAAACAAGTATCCCACAAAGCATTTATCAATCATAACGATTGATACAACATTTATGTTTCGTTGGACTTTAAATATTTAAAATAAAAACGTTATTCAACATTGTATAAACTTTTAATTATTCATGTTGGAATTGGAATATATAATAAAAATTAATTAACATCCCAAAAAAAAAAAATTTAAGTTAATGAAAATTTGAAATTGTATAAATTTCTAATAGATCATATTTATTAAGCATAGTAGAAATTATAATTATTTTATTTTGAAAATTCATTAATTTGGTATTTATTTTAAATATTAAGTTTTGATTTTGTTTTGATTGAAAATTTAAATTTAATTTTTGATTTTCAATTGAAATATATGGTTTAATTAATTTTAAAAAATAATTTGAATTAAATATTAATTTATAATGTATAGCTAAATATTTAGTTATCATTGTAATACAACATAGATTAGAATTAAAATTATATTAGTAAAAAAATGTTTTTCATACTTATACATGTATTCATATTTGTTATATTATTATATTCTTACATATAAGTCTATGACTATAATTTATAACTCTTCTTTATGACTCAAATATATTCTATCGATATTTATTTTATTTCACTTATAATATTATATTATAATTTATAACAGTTAGGTAAAGTTATTTTAAATTGTTTTCGGCTCAGATCTTAATTGTAAGATTATTGTAATAATATTTATCATTATTATTTATATTAGAGAAACAGTTATCAATAAATATATCTTTGCTGTATAGGGTATTATTATTATTATTATTATATTACTAAATAAACATTTTACTCGTACTGTTTGATAAATCAGATTTGATGAAAAATAGAGAGTACATTTGATTTTGAACAGGAAAAAATAAAATGTTTTATTCTGCCAACATTTGACTGGAACATAGTGTGAGTTTCTGTGAACATCTTATCAGCTTCTTATGGACATATTCAGCGTGTAAGTGAACAATTTTTCTCGATGTTGGAATAAGGCAAACACGCTTGACAAGAAACCATTCAAAGCTGTAAAGTCAATATTATAATTAAAAAAATATATGTGTATACATTATTGAAGTATAAATAAATTCATACGTCATGCGTTCCGCTGACTTAACAGGTCGGGGTTTGTAATAAATGTACACTTTTGTCTTATCGCCTAACATATTTATGGCATAATTACATGATTCGAATTTTCATTCTTTGATATGATACAATAAATTTGCACTGAACGATGACTGTTGACTAGATCCAATATGTGAACTTAGGTAAAATATGTCGATAATAGCTATCCAACACCAGGAACAAAATATATGGTGAAATTGATTGTAAACCATTTCCGACTGCCACAATATATTAGTTTTCTAACTGAAATAGAGTATATTATTTTGTTAGATCAAAAGTCACCAGATGTTTTCGTACAAAAATTATTACATTTCCACTGTTGGATGAAGCAACATATTCCTAGTTTTCACGAGCACTTCAAACCATGTAAGACAAAAATCTTTGTAGTGGAACGGCAAGTACGTGAATCCGTCTGATGTCGAAATTTTTTTCAAATTATTTGTAATATCTTATTATACAAGTCCATGACAGCAAAAATGAAATGTGAACTCCAGTTATTAATTTATTTTTTTCATTCAAAACTACTATATTTTATTTTTATTATAATTAACTAATTTGTTGTTTTAACAAAAAAAAAAAAAAAACATGGTTTGGTTATTATATATTTAAAAAAGTAAGGTCTGAATAATGAAAGTTTAATAATAAAATATACTTAATTTATAGTATTAATTTCATATGATGTTAAAGATTGATATTTTCAAATTATAGTGCGAAATATAGTGTAAAATAATGATAAAAAAAAAGTATATAATTATACATCTATATTATTACTCTAATATTTTTATTTATTCCTTTATTAACCAAGTAAATATATTATATAGATATTTATACTTTTACTTATGTAACATTTACAAGTATAACAATAGATTTATATCTACTGTATTTGCTATATTTAATCACTTTTGTTTGATATTATGATCGTCATCAGAAGTTTTCGATACAGTTGGATACAAGATAAAAACCATTCGGGTTTATTTTTGATTCTAGGGTGATACAATCGATGAATCTAATATTATATCAAAAATAAATTAATTTTACCGAGAAAATCGTCTTACAGACTATTGAGTGCACCTTAATAATTAAAACACTCTAGATCGACAAATAAACTTTTCGACATAAAACAATTTTAAATTAAAAATATCATACGTTACTATAAATTTAAGAAACAAATAACGCAACAGAGTATTAGAATTTCATGTACTTATAATTATTATATTTTTGATTATGTATCAATTATTGTCACACATAAATTAGTAGGTACATTGTCTTATACGTTTTGCTTCTGATTTTCTAATACAAAACTACATATTTTTTTGTTGAAAAATCTTTGTTATGTTTAAGAAAATAATAATTATTATATTACATATCATTTTTAAGTATAGACATAATTCTGTAATCAAAAGGTTGATTTTGCCTGAAAAATGGTTTTGTATTGAAATAAAATAAGATAATTTATTTTTATTTATTTATTTACTTATTTAATTACGATTGAAAGTAATTTATTTTTATGTTAAAAATTCATTAATGTTTTAAAATATTAAATTTCTGTGTGCCTAATAATTTAATAAAAATAAAAATTCACACTACTATTTCTTTACTACTACGTGCTGTGACAGAATAATATATAAAAATTAATTTGAATAAATATATTATTAATTTTTATTAGATCTTTTTATTTTAATATAAAGTCGATTTAGTTATTACCTTCTAAGTATTTGATTTGAATGTTTATTGTGATAGTTAAACAATCAAAAATTTCATTAATTTCTTATTGTATATTATTTTAACACAATACAAACGTACTTAAAGTTACAACTTTTAACAAATATAACAGTTTGAAAGTACAAATTATTCATTATAAAATGTATAATGCTACTTTACTAAAAATATGTATACTATTTGTTTATTGTATAAAATGTAAGTGTTTTTTTTTTAGTATTTATTATTTTAGATTTATCATTAATTTATTAATATTATTCAACAGACAAGCTTAGGAGAAGTAATTCCATGCTAGAGGCTTTTGAACTTAGGTACATTATGTCTCGCTAGAGGTTCAAAAACAATTCAATCAATCGACATAATTTTGAACTTGGAGAACGCTATGTCATGCCAGAGATTCAAAATATATAAATCAGTTACCATAATTTTGGACGTAGATAACGCTATGTCATATCATAAAATAAACAAATAATTATAATAAATTAATCACAATTAAAAACAATAAATATAATATTATATAAATGTATAAGTATTTAAACATGTAAACTATATTACTTGAAAATAATGCGTTTACAATTAGTATATGTAAAGTAGGTAATAAATTAATAATAAAAGTAGGTAGTAAATATAAATAACAAATTAAGTAATACTACTATATATTGAGTAACTTCCAATGTGTTAATTTATAAAATGGTAAGTATTAGTTACTATAATATGACTTTAAAAAATTTCCATTAATAAAACAATTTATTTAATTCAATAACGATAATATCGTAAAAACCACTTCGATATCTGTGTGCGATTGTTCAAATTTCAAGTTTCAATAAACAATATTGAGAGCTAATAATATTTTTAGGAAATTTTATTTATTGTAATTTGTCATAAATGTTATTTCATATTATTATTATCTTCTCTCAAATTATTAAATATGCATGTTTATTAGGTTTTGTTATAAATTAAAAGTGTAACATTATTTCAATGGAATATATCAAGAAAAATTACTATAAAATTATAAAATAATAAAAATAAATTTCTCGAATAACGAACTTTAACAAAATTCTTTAATCAGAATTTATAAATTTTTTTTAGAAATTAACAAAATCCCAAATTTCATACTTTTAAACATAAGGAATTTTAACAAGGAAATTCCACATAGATAATACAATTTAAACGTCTATCTAAATGTACAATGGCAACGACTATTTAAAAAATGACGCTATAAAAGGATTATCAAAATTGAAAATCCTGAATACAAAAAATACTTTGTTTATTAACACCACACAGCTTAGAACAGTTATAACACTTAATGACATAATTTAAATTGAATAAAAATGTTTTTGCTGCGAATCTACAGTTCTTATTATGAAAATATTATGAATAAAAACTAAAACGAAATACATTTTTGGGGTAAGTGTTCTCAATTCTCTGATGGTAATCTGATTACAAGTCAACAAAATGACTTCTTAAAACACAAGTAAAAAGTATACGTGAAAAATAAAAATAATAATAAATACAAACCTAATTATTAATTAATACAAACATAATAATGCGATTAAAAAATTAATTACATATTGTTGCATACTTTTCAACTATGTAATACAGATATACATCGTAATAAAATATAATATATAAACAGTCCATTATTCGTAGCAAGCAAAACTTTAAGAACATGGAGGGTAACTCGATAACTCACGCGTATCGATTCAGCGTTTCTCGTATACGTGACCCAATGCGCGTGAACAATTTTTCTTGTGTCGTTCCATTAAAATTTAGCTTAAATTTTATTCATGAAGACTTATATTTAATTTCAAAGCCGAATTAAATATAGCCAAAACTACGACGGTGATTATAACAAAAATGATTCCCCGACCCACGAGTGTCCGCGGTAAATTTGGATTATTAGTACACTATACAAGAGATGTTCTCCAGGTAAATTTTAAAAACGTTAAAACTACAATCCATGTTTTTCAAGCAACAGCGGTTTTTATCGGTATTTTTCGTTCATTCTATCAAATAAATATTATTCGTGTGTTATGACTAGTAATTAAATCATTTATCACAAATCGTCAAGTTCGAAAGTAAAATTACATATAGTTGTTCTTAGTCACAACACACACAACTAAAACTACTATTATGAATCGGAAGTTTTCGTAGCGAGTTACACGAGTTACATATTTGAATTGTCAGTAGATTCTACATATTATAACATTATATTTTCCGGATTTGACATGTGTAATGCCGCATTATCAGCCTGGCAATAATATGGTGTCAGAATATGTAACTATTCTGAGTTCGTCCGGTAACTCGTTCAATGGTTAATAACTACAGAAAATCGTTTAGGAAAATCTACGTTTCACACAACATCTATCGCGACACCAAATCAACATCTTCGTATTACAATTTATTACAATCAGTTAACATAAAATAAGTATTGTCAATATTGCACTGTGTTATTGTTAGTATTTCGAACCGTTATATCACCATTAAAATTTGCAAGCGTAATTGGGAAACTGCAACACTGTCATTCTACAAGGTGAGGTCGTAGTGATTCTATTGCTGATCAGTACTGACAGTAACCGATGTATTCAAATGTATTCGATTGTATTATAGGATTTTTAGTATTATTCATTATACGAACATGTTCATATGAATAATATTCAATTTGAGTGACTATTGGATTTCTTCATTCCGAGTTTGTTTTGAATAAAAAAAATATTCGGTCGTGTCGAAAACTATATTCGAATAAACAAACAGCATTCGACAATACCGAGTTAATATTCAATCGCACCGATCATTAGAACTCGGTGATTCGATTACACATGCGCGCTCACCAGTTGTTCCTAGTAATCCTAACTAGGAAATTAATGAATAGTTATGTGATGTGTTCGCGTGCGCACGCCAGGAGACGAATCGGACGGTCATTTATCTGTTTCCAGGTATACGAAGCAATAGTCATGGACGGGTTTATTCGCCAAATGTTTGTTTGCGCGCGTGCCGGAACTTCTTCGCCCGTGGCTCAGTTTTGGGACCGGTAATGATTTTACACTCGTCGTCGAATGTAGCCGAATGAAACGTCCAACAACGAATAGTATTGGAGAAAATAAAATACTTGTTCGTAGACGTGCAAAAAGAAAAAATAAAGTTGTGATAACCTTAGTTATTACATGTGTTAGTGTGCATATTATTCTCATACTAATCGACTTTACACGTTATAGCCGCTCTCGTTGTCGTCGTTGTGAAAGCTTCGTCAGTTGTGCCACCTATGAATATTCCGCGTATAGCTACTCGAATTACAGTTCTTCGTCACCTACCGGTTATTATTTATTATTTATTTTTTCGACTACCCTGAAACCTTGAACTATGTACAATAAATAGGATAGTGGTTAGTATTGTAATACATTTAAATGCGTTCGCAAATTGTTCACGTACATGTTCAACCGATTGACTTTTGACGCGATTTATATATTAATTAATTTAGCCTGTACAAGTTCAGAACGAAGAACCGATCAGGTATTTTTCAACTGAAAAACAGCAATTGATGGTATAGCGCTGCAGCAATAAGTGGGCAACAAAAAATAATAACTGTTATATTATAAAATAAAAGTAAATATAATAGATTTGGTCCATGAGAGAACCTATATGGGTGATTTTATGGGTTAGGCTGTTGGGCTTTCGTTCGCAAGACGATAGTATGCGCTACAGAGTAAAAAATATAGTTGGACGAGGGAAAAGCAATTAAAACGATATGAGTGATTCTAATGTGAAGGAAAAGAACTTCAAAATGTTTTTGTGAAAAGAAC